TTCAAAGTACTGCTTTGTTCTAGACAGCAAAGTACTGTCCTTCTGCATTGGCACTGGCAATTCAGCCTAGAAACTGATTAAGCGTAGGTTCTACTGTGAGAAAGACCTAACAATTATCACCTGGCAAGAACATCAATCAGAAATGGACACAAGAATATTTAAGACATCTTTCAGTATGAGGTCTGTGCAGACTGATTCTCAGGCATGCGTGGTCATACCAAATATTGAAACACTGTGATCGAAATCCTATAGCTTATCATAGTAAGTCACACAAGAGTCCACTGAGTCAGTGGGAATTTGGTGAGTTAACTCTTTCATAAATTCCATTCATTCAAAAGGGCCTATTTTAATGGTGACTTCGCCACAATAAATCACAACTAGAGTAAGTCCATTTGAATCAATGGAGCTTTCAGAGGCATTGATTCATCACATTCCCACTGATTCTATGGGCCTAACCAAGTGACTAACCAAGCTAAAAAACAGTCCCAGAGTTCTAAAATCCCTTCAGACAGAATATCTAAACTCATTCTATATTAGAGGCTTAATATTAGCATTTACAATTCTGCATAAGAAATATCAGATCCAGCACATAAAAAAGACCTTTAAAAGCTTCAGATCAAGTATTTGTAGCAATGTTAGTGTCAAAGTTTGTGAGGTCTGAAGTTATACAAGCCCTCTACATTTCAGCAACAGTATCCAAATTATACAATTCAAATCTAGGCCAAGCAGTACATAGTCCTGCAGAAGAACTACCATCATGTCAGAGTGACTGCCTCTGCCAGAACCCTCTCTCAGCAAAAGCTTTTCTTCCTTCCAGAATGAGATTCTCTTTTCCAATCTAACTCATAAAGCAATTATAACTGAGACATAGATAAATTAAGCATATATTGTGCATGCATTCTACATTTTTATTCCATTATCTATTAACAATGTATTGAACTGGAGAAAGAAAAATAAGGTGCTTAGTATTACGAAAGATTGAAATAGAGGAATGTTTCCATCCCACAATTCCAGAGGCAGCAGAACATATGGTAAAAGGCATTACAGGAAAGCTGCACTACCGCTGGTACCAAATGACTGTTGTCAATTTAGGGATTAGCCATTCAGTATCCACATTCTGCCAACAGAAAGGAAGTAGATCAATCACAGGAAATAACATTGTTTGGTAGTTTTTGAAGCCTACAGCATTCTAATCCCAGATGTTTCTCCTTCAACTTCATGATCTCAGCACTCTTGGAAAAAAGTGCTAAAGTTTATTATCTGGGTGCAAGAAAAGCTTGCAAGATCCAACTTGCTCATCCAAGTCAAGGTGGGCTTCGAATTCCACGCTAAAGATCTAGAGTTTTCCCTGTTGTGAAAGAAATACATGCATAGCTGTAAGATAGAGAACTGCAAACACTGTCTCTTTTTACTGAATGAACATTGGAGTCTAGGAGTTCATCCAGCCTAATTCTAGCATAAGACCGACCCAATAAAACTAATTCCTGCCCTGAAGTGCATCAGCAATGGACACAGGAATATTTAGGACACCCTTCAGTACATGAACCAACTACCAGAGACACCATAAGACAGACACCAAGAAGTGAACTCAGAATCCAAGTTCACTTCGCTTATGTAACAAATAGCCTAGGATTCCTTTTTACCAATGCTATTTATGAATGGAATATTTTTTTAAAAGGCTTTTGGGGGGAAGTTGAAGGGCAACCAAAAAGCCATTCACTTAAATTCCCTACTGGAAGTTAGATATATTTCACCAGCCTGCCACATATCACCCTAAACAAATCAGGCCACAATGTACCAGAAGCAAAGTACAACTGCATCATATTCATGAGTCAGCAGCATGAAAGAACTCCCAAGTACTCAAGCTAGCCAAGCCACATGCTTCACTCATCAAGTCACTGAATGATCACATCTTCCTGAAAATTCCTACCTGACACTACATATGATGGTCAGGTCTTCCATAGAAATAAGATCCATCTGCTACGCCCTCTCAATAGGAATATTTTGACATGCAACACAAGGTCATTATTCCAATGGTAAGTGAGTTCTTCAGTAGCTCCAGTGGGTATTGCAAACACACAAGAGTAAACTCAACCATTTATCCTCTACCGCCACATCACAAGGGATCAAATAAGCTAACTCCTTGCAGTGCAGAAGTAGAGACCAGCTCTAGAAATATGTCTATAATGCAATCAAGTTGGAATTCTCTCTGGCTGCAAAAGAGCAGTGTTCAAAACGAATGAAAAGTCCTATGCTTTCTTCTCTTACAAATCACAGAAAAGGTTCCCAGAGGAATTTTTCAAAACACATTTCCTGCACCTGCTATTTAGATATATGTGAAATAGTATTGTCAAGCCAAGTATCAAATACTGTATTAGCAAGTCAGTTTGCCTGAAACTCCCAGTACTAGTCCAGCAGACTCTACTGTTGATAGCAAATTCAGCTGTGTGTTCTATAAATATTCTAGAACTGTGCCAAGGATATCTAAATATTGTACCTAGAATATTAGAACAAAATAGTCCCTTTCATAACAATCTGTTTCAGACTCACTTGTTACAATTTTTGGAAAAAATAGGAAATTAAAAGGAAATTGATGAAGGAAGGAAACAACATACAAGTTGCAGTCAATTCCAAATTTGAGCTTTAACTTGAATGTTAAAAGTTACTTGTTGCATTTTTGAGAATTAAAGCTAAGTTTCTCAGAATGCTAAGCTCTACAAAATACTGTATTGGATTCCAACTGAAAGATAAAACATATTCAGTCCTGACTATCAGAATTAAAAGCTACTGCCCTTTGATGCTCCTCAAAGTCACTCATTAAAACGTATACAGTACCTTTAAGACTACAGTATTAGGAACTCCCTACTATTAAGATTCCCTTCCAACCCTTTTATTTCTGTACTGGTTACAGTACCAGAAGTCCTCATAGCTACTTTCACCATGCACACATTACTGGTTTCTGCACTGAATTACAATCCAGCATCATTATAAGAAGAACACAGTACCTCAAAGCAGCAGCTTATTATAAGGGATGGGAAGCAAAGGAGGATGAAAAAGATGCTCGCAGGGCAGCCCTTAAAATTTTTTGATAAGCTTTTTTCTTCAAGCCCCACTGCACAATAAAGGTTATCAAATATTAATGCCGATATAGTCCCAAATTAGTAGATTCCCCAAGGACGGAAAACTAAACCCAAGCTAAAGTTCCACTGCTTCCACAATGGGTGACAGATCTAAAACAGACACATTAGTGGACCCACAAATATTCAAGACTCATATGGCAGCCAATTATTAGACTAACAATTCCAGATTTTAACAAGAGATGCCAAGATGAGCAACTTGATGTTTCACATTCTGAAATAATCATTTTCCAAGTCCCACAAAAAGAGCACAGCAGATTTAGATTTATAACTACAGACAAGGTCATTCATGTAGATATCAACACCCAAAAGAAAGGTGGGCTTAAACTAACAGATATATGCTACACAAAACAGACAAATGAATGCTAATAAACTTTTGTGATGGCGGGGGTAAATGAGAAAAGGACCTTTACCTTCCAAAACATTATTTAATATTCTTTATTACATAACTGTCTCAAAGATATAACTGTGTTTTAAATCTACCTTAATATCTCAAAATCTTTTTGCAATTACACAAGCCTGACTCAAGGGATGCAAAGTTCAAAGCCTTCCATGCTTTGCTAAAGGCAACATCAATAAACAGTGTCAACCTCTTTTCTTGAGTAACATTTGCTGAAGATGAGTAGCCAAGTTCAAGACACAGCAAAAAAAGAGTGGTAAATTATTGTCACTGGCGCCATAAACCAAATAGCAGACAAGGATTAATTTCAGCAGGAAGCTAACTTTATTTAAAAAGTACAAAATCAGGAGCAAGAGGCCAATGTTATGGAACAGATGCAGATTACAAATAGTGAAGCTGCTATTCAGAAATAAATGGTAATGGACAATTTGGTGTCACTCTCAAAAATTATACCTGTGGCTATTGGTACTGCAACCTTGAGTTGACTTTATTAATAAGCTAGTGAGCAATTTCAAAGCGCACACTTCATTTTTGAAACTATTTTGTTTCTTGTGTACTAATGAAGCTGGGAAGACAAAACACTCGGTTTGATATAACAGTAGTCCACTTCAATCAAACGGTAGTCTTTACTAACTACTATAAACCACTGAGTTTTTTTTCAACGTGTCAAAAACAGTACCAGTTCCCTTTGTTAAACATCTGGAATTTGAGAACATCTGGGAACTACAAAAGTAAACATTAGCTAGCCAGCATACAGAAATCAAAAGAGCAGTGAGATAGCCAGCAAAAGATCAGGGGGATATTTAGGAGAGTAAGGAAAGAAGGAGTATAAATTCTTTTGGAATAGAATACTGTCTTAAAACTGGAAATATTTTTTTTTTCACAAAGAGGCCCTGGTTCAGAACAAAGGTTCAGGATCCTATGAGAAGGCCACCTATTCCTTGGCCAACCCCCAAAGACCAATGTTCTCCACGTTGATTTTAAAAAAAACCTTTTGACAGGCATTTAAAGCCAGGGAACACCAAAGTTTTGAGTGTATAGGAGATGATGGAGGAAGAGAACTGGAGGAAAAGAAGTTTCACAGGAAGAGAGGCAATGAAAACGAAAATAGAGTTGGGGAGAGAAAGAAAATAAGAAAAGGAGAGAGTCAAGTAGAATTGTATTTAAAAAAAAACAAGAACGGGAAAACCTGAAGGGTATGCCAAAGCAAGAACACATTTTAAAGAAACAGTTACTAATGTAGTTACCAAAGGAGTTGGAAGGGAAACGGGGAGAGAGAAAAAGGAATTCCGGACATGGGAAAACACCCAGTTTTCTGTATTAAGAGGTTTGGAATTAAAGGACCTCATAGATAAAACGGTGCGGGGGGGAGGAAGAGAGATTACAGAATGGGGTTGTATTTGGGGGGGGGGAGAAGAGGAGGAGGGGATAACGGGCAAGGGGGGGGTTCTGCCCTGACTCACAGTCGAGATGCTTCTTCTTGGGGCCCATCACCTCGTGCGTGGTGGCCTTGCAGACCGTCTTGGACACGGCCGAGCCGGTCACGCTGTGCTGCGCCGCCGTGATGCGGTCGGTCAGGCTCTGGCCAGACATGGTGCCCAGACACGCCGAGCCCTCACGACGGAGACGACGACGGCGGCGGCCGCTGGTGGTGGTGGTTCCCGGGCGCTGGGGCCGGGAGAGGAGGAGGAAGGAGAGGAGGAGGGGAGAAGGGAGAAGGGAAGGAAGGAGGGAAGGAAGGAGAGAAAGAGAGGGAGGGCGGTCCCGGCGCTGGACCCGACAACGCCGCCACCGAGGCTGAGAGACGCCCAGCGCTCTGCGCTCCGCCTTCCCGGAAGGGCCGGGCCTGTCACCCGGGAAAGGGGCGGCCTCCTTCAGCCTCCTTCCCCGCCCAGTAACTGCCGGGGCCTCCTGGCTCGCATCCGCCACTCGGGAGCCGCCGCCGCCGCCGACACCACCAGAGCGTCCCCCTCTCTTCCTTCCTTCCGTCCGTCCTTCTTTCCACCCTCTGCCTCTCCCTCACAAACACACACACATTCACACCCTGGGTCACTGCAGGAAAATGGCGGCCGGCGAAGCCTCTCAGAGCCAGGGTCACGTGACGGGTGCCATCTTTTCCCCCCTCCTCCTCTCTTAAACTCTCCTTTCGTTCCCAGCCCCCACCCA